ACGATTTTCAAATTTGAATCACAGTGACGAGTCTTGAACATCAACCATTGTGAATCCTTAATCAAAAGCTTGAAATGTGGCCCCGCGCTGCATGCATTCAATTGGCCGCTCACCGAGCGCGCATACATGCATCCGCGCGCACCATCTGCTGCACTGCACGCCTTCGAGGCATTCCTGATTGCTGATTGCAACCATCATCAACTTGATCATCAGCTATGCGCTTGTACCTCGATGGGTAAACGCCCACTCCAATACTCAACCACGCCTCTCGCGCTCTCTCTCACTCTCTATACACCAGCGAGTAGGCTGCCACGCCGTCCCGCCGCAGTCGATCTTTGAACGCCCGATTTTGTCACCGCTCAAGCCCACCCGGCGTGTTGGCACTTTCAATACGCGCTGTCCAAGCGGCGAGTTTACATTGCACACTCGGGTCAGCTGACAGGGTGCAGCATCTTGAGCAGGCAAGTTCACGTGCACTAAGACGACACCTTGAACAGCACACACGATGTCGGGCAACGCAGCGGCACCACAAGAGAGAGGTCGACCTCGCAGTCGAATCAGCTTCTCTTCCCCGCCACCGCCACAGGCGCACCTCGCTGCTGCATCGCTAGATGCTCAAGGTACCCATACAGCCTCTGCGCCACCTTCTCCAGCTTCGAGCGTGAGCAGCAGCACCACAATTACCTTGGGTAAACCTTTACCGTTTGTGGAGGAGAGAGCGCAGACAGATTCTACTGGGGCGTTGCATGCGACTGCAGGACATAGTTCAGATCGAGTAGGATCTTCAAAATCTTCGTCTACAACTCCATCCAGCTCATCCACGCTCACCAGTCGATCGCTAGCAGCCCTGAGTGGCGCCATGTCTCTCGGCCTTGGAAGCTCGGTCTCTAGCACTGCGGGCAAAGGTCCCAAAGAAGATGGCCTGACGACAAGCAGCCAGTCGCTGGCAGCCTCGCAAAAGGGCAAGGCACCAGAGGGGCGCCCAAACAATCCTCGGCAAAGATCCAAAGGGCAGATGGAGAGAAGACGGGTTGCCGTTGGAGTCAGCGGCTCGTCGAACGCGATCGCTACGACACTCCAAGCTTCTCCTGCGATTGGCTCAGCTTTTGCTGCGTCCCCACTGCAAAGCGTTGGGTCCAGACAGCGTGCACCTGCAACAATCCATGGCCAAACTCCAGCTGGGCCCTCTCACACAGCTCAGAGGCTGGGACTGGAGAGCGGACAACGCGGCCCGAGGTTGTCCGTGAGATTACCCACGTCCGCAAGCCCTTCTGTACCTCCAACATCATCTTCAAGCTCGACGCGCGACACGCCGAGAAGGAGCGCAGAGGACGAGGAGCTGAAGCGACAGATCCGACTTGCTCTGAGTTCTGCAGGTAATGACGTGCCCAGTCTTGGTGCAGAGTCTCGTAGCGCGTGGTCTTCTAGCGCGAATCAAGACTCGACAACAGGCACAAGCGCCCTGACAGCTTCTAGCCCTCCCACCTTCATCGGTGGTCTCTACTTCACAGACTGCATCTTCATCGCTCTAGTGTATGGTCTCAACTTGCTCAGAACTTGTTCCATTGCCGAGCTCGGAGACGTTGTCTGCCTCGGCATCGTGTATCTTTGTGAGTGTCTTGAGCCAGAAACTTCAGCTGAGACCCCCCGCTCAATGGCCTCGCATGGCCCTTGTCTAGTCTTTAAGCTGCCAACAAACTTGGCGCGCAGGCGAACCTTGGACCCCGACGCTGGCGATGCGATACGTCCCGGTGACCGACCGGCGAAATTGTCGGCTTTTCACCATACCATGCTGCTGCTTGTCCGATTCATGTGCGGCTGCTTCCCTCACCTCTTTCCTAGGATCTTGTTTGCCGAGCAGACTATTGGACCTTTCGTGTACTGGAGGACCGGAGGAGGCAGCGCGGATCTGGTCAGAGCGTTTGATGCTGGGCTGCAATCGTCACCAAGCAAGGCGTCGAGGAATGGGAAAGAAAAGGTGCAGCGAGAGGGAGAAAATTTCAGCAGTCATAGCCGGAGAAGGCTAGCAGCACCTGGATTCAAAGCTTTTGAATTCTCCACTCGGCCTCAAGCGAGCAGTCCACAAAAGCTGAACGCGGGCGCATCGCCAACCACACTTTTCTATCTTCACGGCGGCGGCTTCTCCCTAGGCAGCGTAGCATTTTATGCAGAGGCGCTGATACGTCTCAGAAACAAGCTTTCCGCGTTGGAGACAGCTAATTCGACGGCCGATCATGAAGCGAGGGTAGTTGCTGTGGAGTACTCTCTTTCTCCCACGTCGCTCTTTCCCGTTCAACTCCTTCAATGCCTCAGGTGCTACGCTCACCTCATCGAAAAGGAGGGTCAGGACGCGAGTCGGATTTGCATCGCTGGAGATTCTGCGGGAGGCAATTTGGCCATGAGTCTCTTGCTCGTCTTGAGCGGAGCAGTCAAAGAAGAGAGGCTGAATGAGAGAGACTGGACGCAGCTACCTCTGCCGGGCAAGGCGCTCTTGATCAGCCCGTGGACCGACCTTCGTCCCCACGCGAGTCTGGCGCTCTCCGCTGAGGTCCAACGTCGACGCCAAGTGAAGGGCTTCCATTGGGACTACGTCACTCCGCACGCCCTGCAACACTTTGCCCAAGTATACACAGGCGCGCTGGACAGACCTAGGAGGGTTGCTGGTCCACTTGGCTACGTTGCGCGACTGTCCACTTTCGGTCAGCGGATTGGACAGCCGACATCTGCACGGCGAACTTCTAGCTCTGGCAGCTCGCCCGACTCCAAGCACGGCAACGGTGGTGGGCGCACAAGGAGGAAAAGACCCAAAAATGGTCCAGCCGCCCAGCGCAGCCTCGTCAGCACACTTGCAACGCCCGTCGTCACACTCTCTCGCTTGTTGCACACGATGTTGAGTGAGCCTTTGTTCGTGTTGATAGGCGCAGCGAACGGACAGGCACCTCAGTCTACCGAGCCGACCATTGGCATCCATGACGATCCAGAGGGCAGCGGACTTGACCCTCTCTTTCCAGCCGACGAGAGGTCTTGCGACATTGTCACGAGTCCGGAGGACCTTTCGCGACGTATGGACGACTCCAAGAGCGCCTTTATACATCCGGAAGCGCGCGATCTGCTCGAAAATCATCCGCTCATCTCTCCTGCTAAGGCCGACTGGACGCGCGTACCGCCTCTGGAGGGAGGCATGTACGTCACGTGGGGCAAACACGAGACGCTGGCTTATGATATCGAGGAGTGGGTATCGAGGGTCCGGGATGGGCATGCGAGCAGTCACGCGGATCAAGCTAGCATTGTTCCGCAGGCGCCTGACCAGGACAAAGACGAGCTGAGCCCAGTCTTCAAGCAGACTGGACTAGCAGACACTGCGGATTCGGTGTCCGGAACCGCGATGGACATTGCTCGATTGCAAGCTGAGCGCGCAGTGCAAAGTCACATTGAGCGCGGAGCGGGCGGCGTGCATGCCTGGCCGTTTGTAAACATGTGAGTAACTTGGCTCTGAACGAGGCCCGTGGAGAGCCGATTGTCTGCGGACCAATGCTGTTCGAAGGACACTCATCCTAATGTCCTCGTCCTTCTGCATAGGTACCTTGCTTCATCTCATGCGGAACGCGAGCGGGGACTCGACCTGCTTGCGCAGTTCATAGCAAACCCGTCGCCAAAGACGCCAGTGGCTCCCGAAGGACAAGGTTTGGCTTTGCATCTAGGAAGTCCAGCACCCAGTCATGAATCAGTGCGGCTAGCTTCATCAGAGAAGCCCAGCTTGGCCCAATCTCTTGCGTCGATGAATGTTCCAGCTGATACTGATGCTGACGTGGATTTGCAAGCTGCGACGGATGTCGACCCCATCACTGGCATACCGTTATACTCGCCTGGCTCAATGCCCAGCGACACCGGCGAGGGTCTGTTGTACTCTTCGGAGGACAATTCCAACTCCCAGTCGGACGGAGGTCTAGACGAAGACTCTATGGAAGGCGACGACGGGAGTGGACATGGAGAGCCTCACGAGGATGAGGAAGTGGAACCATATTACACTTCTCCCGAGACGCAGACTGGACCTGGAAGATCTCGCGAAGCGCGAGGTGGCTCCGGAGACGTCTATCTCATGCCTGTCCACTTGTCTCGTCCTTCCGACAGCGGCTTAAGAAGCAGTGCAGTGGCCTCTGCTGCTCCTGTCAATGCTTGGATGGCGAGCTCCAGCTCAACAGGCGCCGCTGCCCTTCCCGAAGACCTGAATCCGAGCTACTTTGGTTTGTCCCACTACTCCCAACCGAGGATGCACTCAACCACCTTGGGCCTGCACGATCCCAATAGGGACCCGAGAATGGCGCGCATCACACACCATCCTGTGGAGCCAGAAGGTCTGTCAGATATCGCTGAGGAGGATTCGGTATTGTCGGGAAGCGTGATGAGCGATGGGTTCCAAGGTGGGCCTCTGGCGTCGAGTGCGCAACACACTCTCTATGCCCCTGCATCGGGCACCACCCATCCTGCTGCGCGTCAAGATCTCAGACTGAATACGCGCGCTGCTACACATGGCAGGACACAGTCCCCGCCCTCGGAAGGAGAGCAAAGTGGAGTGGAGGTCGACTCGGCAGAGGAAGTCTTCTCGCCGATCGATAGTCCGGCCGGACCTTTTAGCGATGAGGAGAGCGAAGCGGTTGGACATGCTCGTGGGGCCAGCTCTTCCGCCTCGACGTCGGCATGGAAGAGCAGCGCGGACCTTGCCCAGCCGTCGCTTTTGTCCGAGCAGCAAGAGAATGCGGAGTCAGAGGATGCGGTGGAGTTGCAAAGTGAGCACGACGCTTCTACAATTCGCTCTACGCCAAAGAAGAGTTCAAAGGCGGATGTTTGGTGGTAAGGGTTTGAGGCTTGCCTTAGCTTTCTCGCTTTAGATCGCAAAGTCAACCTTCCCTGCAAAAGCAGAAACGCTGCTATTGCTTCTCTTCTGCGCCCTTCTCACGACTCTTTACGTACAGACCCGGACTAGACTCACCTCAACACTATGCAAGACATTCCCTCTGTTGTTCTTTCTACACCTGCAATTGGTTTCACGATTTTTGTGCAATTGGATATATCGAAAGACTGTTGAGTGCCCAAGTCAAGAGAGTCACGAATCAAGAATTTGAATGTGTGCCAATCAAAATGGTATTCGAATCACGTGA